CATCACCCAATGCAAAGCATACAACTCAGATATGACGACTTTGAATTTAAGGCCAGTTCAGGGTGGTTCTTGCGATGACAAAGAAGACACGCTATCGACACACGCAGTCTCAATCCAAGGCGAAGCTCGATCTGGGAACATTGGCGCTGTCGGAACTTTGACCGAAAAACTGAGAGAAATTATCTATGAAGGTGGTTATTTTGACAAACATGTTTATAATTGCGATGAAACTGGTTTATTTTGGAAGCTGTTACCGTCGAAGTCGCAAGCAACAGCAAGCGGCCCACATAATATCAGACACAAACAAAATAATCAACGCAATGTTTACAGCAAACATAATCATGATTTTATTCGAATACTGCCTGACACATGTGATGATACATCAATTAACTAAACCGAGGGTTTATATGTGCTTTTTATATGTTTTTCAATGCACGACCTCCCTCTTTCACGACATCCCTCGGTAAGTCGCGGCCCTCGATAAGTCGCGGTTTTTGCTTGGATCCCAACACCCGCAACTTAGCGAGGGGCCACTGTATTTTGTTTTTCAACTTCGCATACTGATGAAGTGCACCACCTATGGTAAAATGGGGAAATGTTTGATTTCTTTTGTCTATCCAAGGCGACATTTACTGCATATATTCAAATGAATTATTTAATAAAAATAAACATTGAACCGTATTTATTCTATTAGTAGCCTCATGACCTTACATAAATTACTGCCTCAAAGTGTTTCTATGGTAAAATACGTCATATCTTAATGATTTGGTGTACAATAAATAGTTTATATCAATTTGCACTTGTATTTGAAATAGAGAAAATACAGTATATCTTGTCATAGTATTGAATTATCTTCTTGATTTGTAAATAGAATTTTTTTCAATCTTTAAGATTTCTAGGGGTCAGATACATGTATTTCAAAATCAGTGTTTTAGCTGAAACAATTATGTTATTCGAAGATTTAAATTAGCATAATATCAAGATAAAATTTGTTTTGTTCACAATTACAGCGGAAGCGATTCATCATAGAACCGAGAGAAGGAACTGGTGATAAGTTTGTAAAGTATACGAATGATTACAGGAAGTGAGTCTACTATATTTACTATCTTACATAGTAGGCATCCTTCCGTCTCGTGAGACGATGGGTTTGCGCCTAGTGAGTCATTCGCTCAGTCTTGTTGAGAGCATCGGCGGGCGTGACACAGCAGCCCGATCCTTGCATGACAGTCTCTGCTGCAGTTGCCACACACATAGTTTGAAAGTGGATTTGTTTGTTTGTTCTGCTGCCTGTCTTTCCTTCTTGCTTTTCTCTCCTCCAACTGTTGCTTTTACTTTTTCTCGCCTCGCTTGACTCCCTCTCTCACTGTCTGTCTCCAAACACTGCAGTAGTCCGCAAGCGATTCCCAGGTATTAGGATCAATGCCTGTCAGTTTCAAGTCACGCTTACAGACGTCCTTAAAACGCAGAACTATCTTACATATGAGCTGCTTTATTTATACTGTGTATTGTTTTGTCCTGAAGGCAAGAGGACAAATGGGTGATTTTCCGTTCAACCTCGAATTGCATGAAAGTTGCATGAAAGATGTGCGTCGAACGTCTGCCGCAAAAATCAAAAGATTTGATTTTGAACTTGAATTTCTTTATTTTGTAACTCGCATCGACCGGCCGATCTTCGACAGAGGAATATTACTTTCGAATACCCTCACTTTATCAAAATTGCTTATCATCAAATGTGTACAGCACATTATTAAGCATGGAAATATCCCCAAAATACTTTCGCGTTTGTCGAATCCCATTCAATGTTTGTCGCCACTACGACACTATGATCTTTGTTTGTCCTGTTTTTACGTTCGATTTCACGCATAACGCGTGATTCTCGCAGTGAACAGAAAATTGGGAAACAATGTCTGTCTGTCTGTCTATGCACAAATGTTGTTTCCCAGAAATACGTTAATCAGCGCATGTTAACTGAAAATATTTTTGTGGTTGCATGTTTTTCATAAGCATTAAATAGTGTTTACTACAGTAACAACCGTTATAGGGTGACAAAATGTATGACATTAAGGTTAACATTACTGTGAATTCTCTGCTGTTAACATTTTTCAAGGGTATGCAACTTTTATAATTATGTGCACTGGTATGCAATAAAGATCTTACGAGAAGTGAACTCTTGTGCTTTGCAAGTACTTGAAAGCAATTCCATTATATTTGTGTCAATTGATATTTCTAACCAATTGCATAAACAGAAATGAGATTATTCAAACACACAAAATGCATTTACATGTATTACATGTATTGCACTATTAACATTCTCACTACCAGATTTTCTCGCCCACATTTTTCTGCACTTTTTTCTTATATTCTTCAATATCTCTGGAAATGAACCCTAATTTTGGAGCTAATAGACAAAATTTGAGTAAATTTTCAGTTTTTACTCAAAAAATTGGCTATTTTTTATCCCAATCTTTTGAAGAAAAGTGCAGACTATAAAGGGGACTATTTTGTGAATTGGTGATCAGTTCTTTCACAGACTCACTTAGAAATTTGTGTGACTTCACATACACTCATCTTATAAATATTTATTATGAATAATTAATTTAATTCATTTCAGGGGTCGATATATGATGAAGTTTTGTTCAGCACAACATAAGTTCCATATGACAATGCGGTCCAAAGCCAGCATTTCTCAGATATTTCATCAAGGTAAGTGTATGTGCATCTTCACACATTACACATGTGGAGTGTTAATCATCAAAAATAACTTTCCTTTTCATCACTAACTGTTTTGTTTAAATCTCTCCTTAATGTCCTCCTATCCACAACGTAAAAGGGAGTCTTTTATTTTTTGGATGCCATGATAATTCCTTTTAGTTTTATGTATATTTTGATAATTTTGTATGAAATCAATATAATTTCCCATTGATCAACATTTTTGAACAAAATTACATTGTTCTATGATTATGACCGTTCTAATTTTTATAACGTTTCATAATCATGCTATTATTAGTACTAACTTTACTCATGAATATTTAATTTGTTCTCACTGAAACAAAAAACAAAAAAAACACGTAATTACAATAATCATACAATTTGTATTTTGCAGAGTATCCGACAGAGGATCCATACAATAATGATCATCACACTGGTCACCAACGTTTCTATGACCCATACAACGGAGAATATAGTGATTATGAGAATAATCAGGATGGGTATCATAGCGATGGTAACCATAGCAACCAGTATCATTTAGATGACTCATTTAATGGTGGTTACAGCGGCAGAGGTAGCTATGGATTTAATCGCGATGAGATGAGGATTGCGATCCCATCGACTTCAACGTCTGCATCAGCATCACCAGGGCGGTGAGTTTTACATATACATGTACACATTTCTGCATAAAAATGTAAAAATATTTAAAAATTAATTTCAAGCAGACTAGGAGAGGGGACATAGATTACTTCTAGCAGAAAAATATCAAAGGAAGATGGTTGTCATGCCATGTGTGTGTGCGACAGTTGTGTTAATAACTATTAATTTTCCCATAATCCATAAATATGATAATGTTTCAGTTTGTACCTTTTGGTCTGCTTGACAGTCACTGTCTATGTTCATATGAAACTCGTATCTCACGCATGAATGACGTGACCACTTTCATCTTCTATCAATTGTATTCCTATTATATTGTGCCAGAACATTTCTGTCATATTTTTTGAACGATATTAAGTCTATTTGGGGGTTACTTTTTAGCTCCACTATCGACTTTGTCGAGCAGAGCTTATCATATGAGTGATTGTCCGTCCATCGTCCGTGTCAATGTTTTACTTTTTCGACTTCTTCTTGAAAACTACAATCCTGAATGCTTTGATATTTTGTGTATATGTACCTTGGGTAGACCTCTCTTAGATTTGTTCATTTTGTAATGATATCTTTAATTCTCTAATTTTGGTGAATATTTTTGTCATTTTTGGTATAAAGTGATATTTTCGACTTCTTGTTAAAACCGCAAGTCCAATTGCTTTGATATTACATATATAGGTACTACATGTGGACCTCTCAGATTTGTTCATTTTGATATCTTTAATTCTCTAATTTTGGTGAATATTTTTGTCATTTTTGGTAAAAAGTGATATTTTCGACTTTTTGTTAAAAACCACAAGTCCAATTGCTTTGATATTACATATATAGGTACTACATGTGGACCTCACTCAGATTTGTTCATTTCGTGATGATATCTTTAATTCTCTAATTTTAGTGAATATTTTTGTTGAAAAGTGATATTTTTCGATTCTTGTTGAAAACAGCAAGTTTGATTGCTTTGATACTATACATATTGTTCATTTTCTAATGATATCTTCTGTTCGTTAATTGCAATGTGCATTGCTAACAGCGGAGCTATCTCAGCCGACAGGCTACTTGTTTAGCTTACTGATGTTTTCGCCACTGCCATAATATAGGTAATTGCTGACAATGTCTGGACTTGCATGTTCTCATCCTACATGTACATGTGTCATAATCGTATCTGATTTCTGTTTCTCTAGCAAAAAAACTGTTTGTGTAAACCTGTATGTTTTTGTTTTTTCTACAGACATTATGACAGTGTACCACAGACACCAAGGGATCCAAGCAGAAGAAGCGCCCCAACGCTGTCACTGATACCTCATGAAAGAAACAGAGGACCTAGGGACCCTCATGAACCCCCTAGCATGCATAGTTCTAGTCAGAGTCTCCCAGTTTATGTTATGGGTAAGAACGACAAGAAAAGAATTACTTTTGACCAACTTTGAGTGTTAAGATTTTTCTATTTAGAAGTAATTTTAATAAATATCGAGCAAGTTATAATTGCAATGTTTCAGGACTTTTATACTCCCCTTTGCCATACAAAGAAAAGAGATATGTTATTCATCTAGAATCTCAATGCACAAGGTTAGTTACACTATGTGTGTAATGTTTTAATCTTTCCAATGTTTTTCAGAATCAAGTTTACGGAGTACAACTTTACAAGACACTTATCTAACCAACCCAAATGAGACAATAAGTGAAACACTGCGGGATCGTCTAAATGCTTTACCATCTCCCGAAAATCCAGAAAGAGATATTTCTATCATAAAAATAAAGAGAGATCCTGAAGTTGGTTTAGGTGAGAGCATCTGTTACTATGGTTACAGTCATTACTTGTGATGATACTACCGATTTCGCTATTGATCTTTCTTGCAGCGTTGTAATATTTCTAGGTAGGAACATTGACTTCTCTATTTATACTCAGAGAACTCCCTAAGTGTAGCAAATATCATAATATGGCTCAAACTACATTTTGTATCATTGCATATGCAAATCAGATGAACTTAGGAAAGAACAATGACAAGTGAAAATATATATATATATATATATATATATATATATATATATATATATATATATATATATATAAACTCAAAAATACATTTCTAATGATCAAATGTTGAAATATCTTCACAATTGACAGTGGTGCTAGGTATTGGGAGGGGGCGTAAACTGATCTGGGAAACTGTCATCTCGCTATCAATCGTCCTTGCAACATTGCAAGTAGTATATGTTTGAGTTTGCTTTCAGCCATTGAAAATTAACTCGCATATTGAAAGTCTCGCTGTATTTTTTGATTTGGTTAAATGTAGAACACAAGTAAGTTTCAATATTGCTCAATTTTATTTTATTTCACACAATTATCTTGCTTGAAATCTGTCTACCGGTACATCATTTTGAATCCAGATCCATAAATCTCATTTGAAAATGCCGAAGTCAAACATCTCAAGAAGATTGATAGGGAGATAGCAATTTTCATGATCAGTTAATGCAGTGCACTGTAAATGTTTTTTAAATGATTTTTAAACAGATCTGGATGTAACATACTGTAAAATACTTTATTTTCGAATGGAATTAATTTTCGCTATTTTCGCTGAAGGAATGATTCTGTGAAAATAAAATCAAGCGAATATACATGTTTTCCTATATCACATTTAACTGGTCAAAAATCAGTGAAAATAAATTCCATACGAAACACCCAAAAAGTCTTTTCAGCGAAAATTAATTCCAGCTAAAATAAAGTAGTTAACAGTAGTAGAAACTTAATGCCCCTTACAGACCTTTTTTTTTTTTTAAGCAAATTCTGATTCTCTCATCTTTTTCATAGGCTTTACCATCGTTGGAGGTCAGAATCCGCGGAGTCTTGACCTTGGTATATTTGTGAAGTCAATCGTACCAGGAGGACCAGCTCATAAAGCTGGCATGTTGAAAGCCGGGGATAGATTAATATCAGTTAATGGCCACAGCTTAGAAGGGATCACGCACCAAGCAGCTATTGAACGTCTAACTCAAGCCGGAGATGTGGTAGAAATTATTGCATCTCAGCAAAGATCTAGTAAAAGTGAGTAGACATTTATATGATTGTGATTGGTTGAAATGCTCATAATAGTGGTTGTGGCTTGACGACTGAGCTGTATTTTATCAGGCGTCACTGAGCAGGTTCAATTTGTAGACTTATGGATAATGCAACGTCTCGTAGTATGTAACTTGTCTAACACCGTTTATTGTCAACTGAATAAAGTTTAGAACAATGCAAAAAACCACACTCTTGAGCTCTTGAGCTAGTGAGCTCATGAAAACTCCAAAAGAAGAACATAATCGAACAGTAATAAAGTTGGCGCACTGAAACTGATATCCAGCCTCTTTCTGGTACCGGTCTCTGATTGGTCATATTTATCGGTAATATTTATCGTTCTCGCTGTATCCAGCGACAGTAGTCATTTACATAATTTGTTCAATCGTATCAAGTGTTACATATGGTAATGGTCTACCAGAGGTTAGGGTGTTACACAACAGAGATTTTGATTGGTTGAGGTTGGATGAACTCAGAGGGGAAACTAAGCAATGAAGTAGTGTCGCATTGATGGGGTGTACTTTGTGCCCATAGTTAGTATAACGCTACCAATTTTGAATGTAATCGCTAAAAAGATGACACATATTTTTTGTGTAGTATTCGTTTCAGATTACTTTGAAACATAGTAAATAAAAAAACAATCCCCCTAATGCCCAAGTGAATCAGTCACTTTGATGGGAGTGAGTGTGACATTCATGCTTCTAAATTTGTTTTATTTTGTGATTTCATGACGGAAACCTGAAATGAAATGCTCTGAATCTATGAATATATTAATTCAGATTTGTAGTTATGTAACTGTTTTGACCAAGAGGTAACTTGTCTCAAATTCAGTGCAAATGGTCGTAGTTTGGTTGAAGCTTTTAATCAATAAATCATTTTTTGTTTTGTATTAGGTCGAGCTCTACCACCACCGAAAGTTCAGCTGTCGGGAGAAGAATCAGAGACCGTTACTGACCATACAGATGGCCTTAGTGGTGACCTCCAGGTAGAGTCACAAGTATCGAAAAAGAAAAAGACTCCTCCTGCAAAGCCTAAGAGAAAAGTAAGCAGTATTGGACCTGGATTGAATGGTTACAGTGCTAGTGACGATTCAACACCAAGGGAAAATGGACAGATAACAAATCATAATGAAGATGTGGTTACCATGGAAACAAAAATGTCAGGGGATGAAGAAATGGCACTTGACGAGAATCAGCAAAATATTCGTGCAACAATTGATGCTTTGGAGTCGGTTCCAGATATTCCAATTGAGGATAGAGATGCAGATTTTGAAGATGAAGAGGAGTTGCTAAGCAGCGGTGATCCGTACAAACCGGGTGATGTATTTGAAATGAGATTGTCCAGAATAGATGGCAGTCTTGGACTAAGTGTCACCGTAAGTATAAAAATTAATGATGATCTTACACTTGTGTATATTATCTCCATTTTATTTGATGTCTTTAAAAATGATATTATGATGAATAAATGTCTTGGATCACGTGTCACCATAAATTTTGATGTTTGCAATGTTTTTAGGGCGGTGTGAATACCAGTGTTAAACATGGGGGTATATACGTCAAATGTGTCTTTGAAAATGGTGCTGCTGAATTAGATGGAAGAATTAAAGTTGGTGAGTTTACAAAGTATTTGCCTTATATGTACAGTACTGTTTACATTAACAAATCATCGTGCAAGTTTGGTTGGCTTTAAACTGGGACTAAAACAAGCATTTGTGGCTATGCACCGATCGCTGGTAATGTAATGATTGTTGCATTGGACTTGTGATCATTAGACCGAAGTTTGAGTTCCACCTAGGTTGAACACCAAAAATGGTTGACACTTTACCCCGGGCAAGTGTGCCACAGACTCGTACAGAAGGTCAAGCCACTGGCCAAGATTAATCCAATGGATGCAACATATATAGTTTTTGTGGCAAAATACACTATATTGTCAAAAATGTGCACAGAAAAACAAAGACAACAGTGACTTTCAATATCCGAAAATGTCGCCTGGCGCAAAAATAAAGAAGGAGAAAAACATTTGTGCTTGAGATGTGCTTCTAATGGTCAATACTCATTGATTCAACAACATTGGGGAAATATTGAGGATATAGCTTCACGTTCATCCAAGCTGTTCTATCGTAAAAAAATTTTGGGAATTTCCCAAGATAAAGTCAAATGAGCTAAGACAAAAACATTCAAAGCTGCTCCCCAAAATACCCATAATTGCTTACAATAGAACAGTTTGGCAGCACATACAGCTGTTGATGAAGTTGTTCTCATGTCGTAAAGGAATGAACGGATCAACTTTTGAAAATAGTTTTTATTATTGTATCAAATTAAATTGTGGTCATCAAGAAATCCAGTACTTGGATAGTACACTAACGCCATGACATCCACTTTGTATCAGTCAATACAATCAATACAATCATATACTGTGTTTCTACGTAACCTCTTGTAATGATTCAATCATTGTGATGTGTTGACTCAGGAACACAAAAAAACATCAGAAAAACCAGGGAGCTTTCACGTTTAACTTCTTCTTTATTCCGCCATTTTCAGTTTTACACCAACAGTACTACTTTTTACATATTAATTCACTCGTGTGATCAAGTGACATATAACACTATTTCAAAAGTATGTATTCTGATGCATGCAATAAAGTAGTCCGCAAAAATAAAATATTCTCTATGTTTGCATATTGTTTTTTAGGTGATCGTGTTCTTGAGGTTAACGAGGTACAGTTGGTCGGAGTAACGCATAAACAAGCTGTGGAGACACTACGCCAAGCACCACATACTACATCGTTGGTGATAGAAAGAGGTGTCCCTCCAAGCAGTACTAATGTACTACCACCTACACCTTCTGAAACACCCACAACTGAAATGCTTCTAAACGATTCTACTGCGACAGTCTCTGACAACATGAAAGGGATTGACGATTTACTAAATGAGATGAACGAAACAAATATTTCTGATGCACCTTTTACTGATGAAGAAAATGATGAACATGATAATGTTGCTACGCCAACGCCAAGCAGTCCTGTCCCCTCTATGAATTCTCAAATTATAAATCTTGAAAAGAACAGCCTTCATTCAGAATCACACTCATTATTCATTGAAGAAGAAATCACCGGAATACTTCAGGATGTTCCCAGTTATGCATTTATTAACAAAGGTATTCCTTTTAAACTGATATAGATTAATGATTCAAAGTTTAACCTTTTCAGTTCCCTATTTTCATCACAAATTCACCAATTATAGTCTGCACTTTCTTTCTGAAGATTGGAACAAAAATAACTAAAGTTTTTGAATAAAAACTGAAAATTGACTCAGATTTTGTCTGTTGGCTCTAAAATTAAGATTCATTTCCAGAAATATTGAAGAATATGGGAAAAAAGTACAGAAAAATTTGGGTGAGAAAGTCTGGTGGTGAAAAGGTTATGAAATCTTTTTTTTTTTGATATCAATAACTTTCTCTTTTGATCAATACTGCGAGACAAATGTTTGCAACTTTTTTGCAATTTTATGACCTTAATTTCATGAGGGCTGTAAAAACCAACATTTTTTCTATATTTTCAAATCACTGAGTGATAATTAAAAGTGGGTGTCACCGCGCAGCATCCAGTTTGATATGGGACTCATAGCGACGTGCACATGGTGCGTAAAATACATTGTTTGTTTACATGAAATTTGAACATCCGCTGCGCCACGACCACCGAGCTTTAAGTGTTCTATTATGGATGATGTCGTTAGAATTGTGAACACAAAATGGGAGTGTACACCAAACCTATACTACAATTTACATTAATTCTAATCAATTTAAATAAATAAAATTTTTTGCAGAAAATGTATATCAAGTGAAACTGACAAAAGGTAGTGGAGGATTTGGATTCAGCATACAAGGTGGTCATGACAACCAAGAGGATCCTCTAAAGGGTCTGATTAAGATCAATACACTCTTTCCAAATCAACCCGCTATTCAGAGTGGATTGATTAAAGAAGGAGACGTCATCTTAAAAGTTAATCAGCAGCCAGTCTATAAGTTAAGTCACGCTGTAAGTATGCAAATAAAATGATCCTATCAGCAAATAATAATTTGTTTATTAAGTTTGGTTAATTCTAGCAAGTAAAAAGTGCATCCTATGATTCCACAATTAGAATGATGCATGTCCCGTCTCCAATAACACAGTGGTTGTTGTACCACTTCAAATACTAACCAAGTTTTGCCAACCAAATATGGAACGATTATTCGTGTAAGCGTCCACTAATAACCACCGGACCCCACACAAAGAAGTTCGCTAAATCTGTTCTAAACGTTTTGGGTTTTGGCATTCCCATGATGTATTCCTGGGAGGAAAAGACGTATAATAATAAGGTTATTACGAGGATGCTGCAAGACAGTACACGGTTGCTGTACTACACACAAAAAACATTGTATGGGCCCCAAATTGAATGTGCACTGAGGAATAGGAAAATGTTATCCTTAAAAATTTGATGCATTTGATTTTCTAGGAAACTGTGAATATTCTTCGTAACACTCCTCCAGATGTTGTAATGTTAATGTGCAGACCTATGTCAGGATCTACACCGGTACCACAGGAGGTATGTGCCAGAATGCTTGTTTAATCGTTTAATTTTCACTGCCGGAATTATTCACAATTTCAAGAAGACAAAATTTCACAAGATTCACTAACACTCTGTGTCGTAGGACAGCAGAGAAATTTCCACTGCTACAAAGACTCACAGGAATTTGTCTTTCGTGAAATCTAATTATTGGCACAATCTTCATAAATTATGCACTTAACCTTTTCGGTTCCAATGTTATGTTACTCACTGAAAGTTGGATACAACATTTTTTTTTGTATTTTTCAATTATTTCTTTGAACCAAATAATATAATTATATATTAGCTACAGGACTTGATAAACATTTTCAAGATAAAAAAATGGTAGATATCATGCTAATTTTATTTTGCAATATTTATATATTGATAAATGCTTCGTTAATATTTCAAGTTCTGTTACATATTTGCTCTATTAGTAATGCATGTGCTTACGTAAATGACAGTGTTGTGGTCAAAAAAAGTAATATTTGATTGATCCATTATATAATAAATAATAAACATTCTATTGGAGATGCATCACTAATAAAGCAAATAAAGTATTCAGAAAAAGTTTGTGATTTTTGAATCTGTGGATGCATTTCCATATTAATTAATGCTAATTAGTATCCAAATGTTGCTGTGATTATCAATAATATCTATCATCAAAATGTTGTTATTGCAACCACAATGTACTTATTTTAACAAAATTAATAGCAAGCAGGATACATGTATGTTAAAGGGGGTGGTCTTCATGCCGAGTCCTGTTTGATATGGGTTTCGTATTGACATACACAACATGTAAAAGATACATTATTAACATGAAATTTGAACACGTACTGTGCAACGACCAATGCACTTGAATATTATAATTTTCAATCAAACAGGGACTTCATGAAAAGAAAATATTCTATGAGAAGCGCATCTTTATAAGTGCACATAAAGTTAAATTGTTTCCCACATCATGGATACGTTTTACTCACCTCCTGTAAATGCATTAATTATTCACTGGGTTTTAATTTTGATATTTTCGCTAAATTAAATCTACATTAACATGTAAAATAACAATAAAACTCATTGTTTCCTTGACAAATTTGTGAAATTAAAACACACAGTAAATATGCTCAAAACATCAAAATAATGAAATTAAATGACAGTGAAAATCAATGATTTTACAGTATGGTCTAACTTTGAGGATTTAACTATGTGCTTTGTAGCTGCTTACAAATCTCAGCAATGACGCAGAATTTTTAGATTATTCCACAATGATTTTTGACTTCTTAATTTTATAAACATCTTATATTTGATGTATTTCTATTTCTATAATTATAGAATTCTGATTCTGAAAGCAATCCAATGACTCCTGTTGCATCACCTCTTACTGTGCAAGCTGAATCACACATTCCACCATCATCATCGTTGCTTAGCACCCAACGTTCATATGAATCTGCATCACCTGTTTCCATGACATCCACTTTAAAGAAGGTGTCATCTGCAGAGAGGACTGCATCTCTTGAGAAATCTTTATCTGCGGATGAAAGGTCGTTGACATCTAACATTTCCATAGAAACATCACAAGCTTCATCAATATCAACGTCATCACCTTCAAAATCATCTTCGTTGCCGGGGGTGAGTTTCCTCTTTTGTAACTACGGTGCATCAGTTAAAACAAGAAATAATTCTATGCACTCTGCTAATGTTACAAACAATTTGATAATACAATACATGTAGGAGAGTGATGTCATATAACTCATATTTCTAATTTAAAAACTTTTCTCTGACTCCGAAATATTTTTCATTTTTATTCTTCAGGAAGTGATTGAAGTGACTTTAACTAAACCAGACCGTGGTGGGTTAGGCTTTACGGTAGCTGGAGGTGTAGATTCAGGTGGTTGTTATATTAAAGGAATCGTACAGGATCCTGCTAAATCTGATGGCAGGCTGAGGAAAGGAGATAAACTTATTAAGGTGTGTAAACTGTTTATTAAAGTGACATAGTGATGATGAAGAATCATATTAGAACATTCAAACTCGCAGTTAATGCTTTGTCACAGAATAATAGTCTGTTAAAGGTGCCAATTATGAAATAATTTGAGGACAAAAAAACAAACCTGCATAGAAATCGGAATAATAGGTCTTTTGATTATCGGAGACGTATTTCAATGGACTTGATTACGGACAATGCATGACGTAAATTTCACCAGGAAATTCCGCAGTGTGCTCTCGCAATCGCGGACTTAGTCATTTTTTACAAGGTTCGCAATTTTTGATGTCACGTGATAATTATGTAAACAATGACTGTCCAGTTTGTGCGAACTTGTACCTCTATACTTAGTCTTTTGAAAAATATAAGCTAAATTATTCTTCTGAACAAGACAACAGACAGAGAATGTTTTATTCGAAAACGTCACAAAACCCTTCTCGCTACCTTAAAGTGACATAGTGATGATGAAAAATCATATTTGATGTGTGGTTAGATGCAAGGTATACAACTTGTATGAAATATTTTTCTTTTAACAAAATTCAAACAAATGTGTGAAAACTGTAATTCTAACACTTTCTATTTATTACTTGGGAATATTTTTTCAATAATATCAAGATTACTTAATCTGATCTTATTAGTCCCCCATTCTGGCGCAGTTCGAAAACCTCTGTGCATCCATGCGTGCTTGTGTTCGGACCTATATCTTAGACATGCCTGGACCGATTACATTCAAACTTTAAACATGCATCATACATAATATTATACATATGCACATCAATTTGTTTCACGATCTGATTCAAGATGGCCGAATGACGGCCATATTTGTGTTAAAAAATCATCCAAATCAAGCATTTCTGGCATTCCAGAATCGGATCTCGGCTTTTTACTCATTATCTTATTTCATTTGCTACATTCAAACTGTAAGCTACTGTAAAGAACTTTACTGTTGCTATTTTCGCTGAAGTGATGAATCAGTGAAAATTAAATTCAGCAAATATACCTTGTTTCCAATATTTTTTACATTCAACTTGTTAAAAATCAGTGAAAATAAAATCCATACAAAACACCCAAAAATTCTTTTCAGCAAAAATTAATTCCAGCTAAAATAAGTATTCTACTGTAACAGTATATTGAATACAAATTTTGCTTACCATCCAAAATTTATTACAGGCTATATTTTTGTTTCTCCCTCAAATTCATACATGTTTTCTATATCGTTACAATTCGCGTTAATGATATAGGCATTGTTCAGTCCACACACCTTAAAATAAATTAATCCACTTAGCGTCGTGTAGATCTAATCCAAAGCAGTGAACAGTTCTAGATATAGATAATTACCCCGATTCCTAGAAAGATCCAAGCCCATTTTCACACGTTCTTTTGGACTTTTTGCTATACTGTAGAATACTTTATTTTCGCTTGGAATTTATTTTCACTATTTTCGCTGAAGGGATGCTGAAGGGATCCAGCGAATATACTTTTTTTCCTATGTCTCACATTCAACTCGTCAAAAATCAGTGAAAATAAATTCCATACAAAACACCCGAAAAGCTTTTTCAGCGAAAAATTAATTCCAGCTAAAATAAAGTATTTCACAGTATCAATTTCACTATACTATTGTAAGAGTTGTGTCTGAACATCCCAATTGTCTCAGGTTTATTATATGCATCATTAAATTGTAACAAACAAAATGAAACGAGCAGAAATAACACTGAACACACTGCTGCATCATGGAAAATACTTCACCATCATCTGGACAGCCAGATCAAAAGGCTTTTGACCATATTTGAATTGACGTGGATGGTTTTCACGATTTTAGTGCAATACGTTTGATTATGCTCCTCTTTGTGGGGGCACACGGTGATTAAGTGGAAGAAAAACCATGGTGTGTAGCTTGGCAATTTGGTGCATACACGTGTTTTGGTTTTAGCCATATGCACAGTGAATGTGTACTTTGATAACATAATATTTACCCTATCATATATTCAGTGTTTCTGTCAAAAAGAAATGGATGTGGATTAAGGTAGAGATGCAGTTTATTTGGCTTGCTTTTTAATTGAGTAATTAGACAATGAAGATGGTATTATATATCCAACATGTCATATATTTTCTGAAAGCTTATTATACAAACTTTGTAAAACTTGTTTTTATTTTAAATATCCAGAATGCGTTTTTGATTTTGGGTCAAAAATATGCTTTTTTGGACAAAAGTGGTTTAAAAAAAATTAGCTTAAAAACTTCAAGTCCGTTTGTGGGTAAAATTACATCACTGGATACCTTGGTATACTACTAATTCAAATGCGTCCACTCATCTCTCTAACGGCTTTCAAAGTCGCACAGCATGACCTCAAAGTTCACTCTTTTCTATTTTTGCATAATTTATATATCCATGTTAATTGCGGACTTGTTATTTTTGTTTCACTCGCCGTAATAAACTGTCCGGACGCATTTTGAAGGGGGAACACCTTGTCAATAATGTGTGAAAATTTCGAGGCAAATGGCCAAAGCATCTATCAGCTATTTTAATTTAAAACCCAAGAATTCACCAAAAATAGAAGACGAGAAAAAGGCTAATTTGCATATTTGCGCGTTAAACCGGGAATTACTGCTTTGTCATACTTTGTCATACTTTCTAGACTATTGAAATTGAAAGTTAACCTATAGACATAGACATTTTATGTAAAATCGTTGGACCAGAACAACTGCTCTTGAATTTATAAATCAGAAACACGTCATTCATACCAGTGTTTTGATGGGGTCGGTAAAAACACGTGGCAATGCCCAGTAAATATGACGTAATCTCATGAATTATTAAAAAGGTGACCTTTTATCACGATCAAAACATCATGGCTTCTCTTCGATGTATTTTCAATAAAAAATCTACGAGTATTTCAGAGCCTATGGTTTACCGTGAAGAGTACAAAGTGGGATATTAAATTATTTATCCTTGATGATTTTTATGTAGTATTGAGAACCAACTCCAGGAAGCGAACGCACAATAATGAATAATCGCGTAATCCTAGAATCGAAACACGAGGCACAGAAGTTTTGTTCATCGTTTCCAATCCCATTTTTCCCAGTGCAACATATTTGTTAAAAGAAATATTTGAATTCTGTTCGTTTTTTAAGGAGGCACTTTTTTATTTTTTCCGATTTTGGCAACGCCTTATTCAGGGATTTTCTAAGACAGTCGCAGACAATCAGCGCACGGATGTACGTACAAAACATGCTGTTGTACTACCGGCGACGGTCGCCTGCAAGAAGAGAGATCCTAACGTAAAAGTTTTAAAATTTCGACCGGTTTTAAATAATTAGTGTTGGAAATCTGACATGTTTTAAGAGTGCAAAATTAAGGTGCATTTTCGAGCGGTCGAATTTTTCTGAATAGAAATCGGCAAAAGAAAAAAATAGGAGTGTGAAACAGTGTGCTTTGTTAGTTTAAAAAAAATGGAATGTCCGTCAAATTGACGTAAACTTACCCATTTTTCACGGAAAAAGCAAAGGTCGTGGCCGAGTTGCAGGCTAAAAAACTCAAAAATCAAAACAACTTCATCAATCAGTATTATGACAAGGAAAACAAAACATCAGACGCGGAGAAGCGGTCAGCGCGTCAAAAGAGTTGTTACCGTAATGTATCAAGTTACCTCTCTCTGTGATTTATTTTTCATTGAAATTATTTGGTTGTTTTCAATTAATTTTAGCGTACCTCTGCAATTTATTTTAGCATTGTCAGTTGTTGCTTCATTGAATTAAACTGAGTTCGTCCGGTTGCAAACAAAGCTGTCTCGCACCACCTAGCAAAACTTGCGAATGATCGAAGTACAGGTACCCATTGGACAAAAGATACACAAAAGTTTGTATCTCCCCGACCCAGTGCAATATATCCGGTTAGAATCAAAGCTCACGTGTCCCTTATTTGAGGGACCAGACTCTGCCGTAAATTCGGGATGGGATTTAGAAAAAAAATAAAATGGGACTTGTAAGGTGTATTTTGGCGTCATTTTCGGACATTTCAATCATTCCTGATGCCTAAAATAGAGTCTAAGTTTTACCGTAGTCATTGACACCTATTCAAGAGTATGACATTTATTGTGACTAGCGTGAATGGGTAAGCTTCGTTTCGACAATGAGCAGTTATCACTGTAAACAATGTTAAATTATTCTTCACATGCTCAGTTTATTTTTTGAGAACAATTATTTAAAAATAAAATCTCTCAGTCAATCAGAAACTCGGATTCATGCCTTCAGGGAAAGTCATGTTTGTACGCTCACATTGATTTTCTTTTTCGTTCGGTGGGCCACAGTCCCTCAACACCTTGTTGAGGGACTGTGGGTGGGCTGATGCCTTCAGTGTAGCTTTTGCCTCTTCCGACATAGAAATCATCTGAATCTTCTTTCTACCTCTCTTTCTTTTCACATCACGCATAATGTAATGATAAAAATTAGTAAAAAACGCTGAGGAAATATAATGTTTGGTTTGCTAGCGAGCGAGACCTGATTTGAGAATAATTGCATATGCGCGTGAATTGAATGAACTATGACCCGTACAATCTCGATTTGCATATTGTCAATCAAAGGTCCTGTTATTTGGTTACTCATGCAAATTAGGCAATTGGACATAAACATTGCCATGTGCGAGTGTTTTTTATTTTTAACCAGGAAATAAACAGCAATTTTAACGGTGTTCCAATAAGAATTCATTGGTCAAATTTTCACAGAATGTTCTTTAGATACAAATCTATATAAAAAACGAAAAAAACTATTTTTGATTGAAATTCACAAATAAACTGCATCTCTACCTTAAACTAACCACTTGATATTTTGATACAGGTGAATGGACGTGACATGACCTACATGAGCCATTTTGAAGCCGTCTCTTACCTCCGAACAACTCCGCAAGACGTCAACATAGTAGTCTTACGCTTATTAGAACCGCCATCAATACCACTGGATCAAGTCCCGATATTGAGCATAAAGCACGACAAAACAGAACAGCTTGGCTTAACCTTAAACACAAAAAATAATGGAATATTCATCAGTGATATCGATTCTGGATCGCCAGTACTTAATACTGGGGATATTAAAGTCGGGGATGAAATATACGCCGTTAACGGGAGTATAGTGAAAGGGATGAGTTTGGATGATGTGACGAGACTTTTGAGTGAAAAAGATGGAATAACTAACATACAATTTTTGAGGTAATTATTTCAACATTTTTTTAATTCATAAATCATTATCACAGTATTTCAATCCAATTATTCGTTGTAGCAATTTACAAAATGAAGACTGACAGTGATTTTTCTCAAACTTGAAGCATAACAGGAAAAAATGTGTTTTATCCATCATATCTGTTCAAGCTAATTTTTAAAGGTTCAATGTCAGTACTGCGTATTAGACGACTGTTCCAATATATATCTTGACATTTACCTGCAGCATGTGTGTACTATTTGCTATTCACTCATAGACTATGCTGTATAACATTAAATGTATGTCACATCAAGGATTTATAAGATTAGAGTATGCAACTTTGAGATCCATGTATGTTAATATGCGACAACAATCTGACAAGGAGTAATCTCCCACGATTTACAAACATTTAAAAACAATTCAGTTTCATGCTCGTCAGTTGAACATATTTCTAATCAATTTGAATTGTATCACAGAACATAGTGGGTGCTTGAAATGATTGATTGCTGAAACAGAAATAACTAAAATAATCGCTGCATTAAAAACCAAAAAACGCACATATTACACATTTTACAAATAAGCAATGACATTACCAAAACAGTCAAGAGATGAACACACACAAGTTCTTTCATAAACTCACTATTATGCATTAGAATTTCTAGATACGTTGGTTTCTCCTGCAATTTTCTGATCATTTTGTTGACTTTCTTCAAATCTCGTGTATTCTTTACACCCTTGCTTACTCTCATTTTAGAAATCTTTGCTCACAGTAACATCTAGTAATTTATCATCACAAAAAGTCTTAAACTATCTGTCAGTTAAGTTATAGTTTATGTAAAAGCTAGCCTGTATAAAAATAGGTAGACATTTTGGAGCTTCATCCAGACGCATAAACATAAAAAAAAATTGGCAAAAAATGTGTATCTGCTCATCAGTTTTATAAAAAAACGGATAAATTTTTCATCAAAATATTTTAAAAAGTAAAGTAAAAGTTAAATTAATAAGTACCTGAATAGCAACAACTAGATTTCATGAATTTTAATTACCGTAGCTCTTGAATATTAAAGAGTTCATGAATAATAATTAGTGACCAGTACTCAAGTCAGCCTGGGTGGAACCCTATATAGTAGTGTCATTTTAGCTTAAAGTGTGAAGGTATGGATGTATTTACCCGTTTAACATAATTCTTTATTGTTAAAATTTTATTTAGTTTGTGAATGCATCTTAATGTTATTTATTACATGTATATGTTGAATGTTGATCAACAAAACAAGCATATTTTTTGAACAAAATTATTTGAGGTTAAATAGTGAAAGGTTTAACCATGTGAAATTTTTATAATAACAGAGGTGGTATCCCAGTTCAAGTTCAGTCACCTGAGTCGTCCATCCCAACAAGTCCCGGAAGTAATGTCACATCGCCAGTCATCTCTCCAGAACCAAGACAACAAACACCATATTCCAAAGATGTTCTGTCTTCACCGGAATATCAATATAAATCAGGAGCAGACTCAGAAATTGATATCGGAGAACTTTCATCATCTTCAGAGAGTGAGGGGGAAGTGGACACGAAAGTGGAAAGTGCTGAGGAACAGCCGAGTAAACCAGCCGCCAATGAACGAGTAAAAGCAATGATTTCATCCATGAACTCGTCCAACAAATCTATTATTAGGACAAAGCAGTATGGAAGAAACAGGACGTTGAGTCGCCAAATTTCTACTGAAAGTGAGGACGAGGTGGTTGCTAGGCAACCAAAAAGAGAGTTGCATCATCAAAAGGAATCTATTGTTGAAATTCATCGAACACAAGAGAATCGAGAATTAAGAAGCCCCAGTCCTGCAGAGGTAAGTTTTTAGGGTGTTTACAGTCTTTATATTGGAAATGTTTTTGGGGTTTTTTTAACCATCCCTGAATGTTTTTTGAAATGCATGAAATCATTGATATATTATTTTGGTGACCTTTGACCTGGATTTGTTTTTGGTTTACAGGGAGGTGTTACCAAATTAGAATTAGAAAAACCGGCTAATGGTGGTTTGGGTTTTAGTCTTATTGGAGGCGAAAAAGGTGGTAAAACTGGTGTGTTTATAAAAACACTCAATCCTGATGGTGTGGCAGGTATTGATGGAAGACTCATGGTTGGAGATAGATTGCTACAGGTGATGTAAAAATAAAAAATTCTATTTCTCAACATTTGAGGGGGTAATTGTGTACTTGAACACTTGGCTGTGGTACATATACGATGTTATCATATACCATATTTGGTCTATTCAAAATGTATGCGCTTGTGTTACAGAAATTTTCTGCTAGTCACAATAAGTACCGTAAAATCTGTATTAGAAGCCGCATTCCTAATAGAAGTCGCACCCATTCTTTTTGAATATTTGAGAACCAAAAATTCATCATTTCTCTTATGTGTAGAGGCTCTAATAGAAGCCACATTCCCTCTGTTGCATTGTACCATTTTAATAGAAGCCGCGGTTTCAAATACAGATTTTACAGTAATACTTTTAATGATTTGATATACAGCCAATGCGTTTCAGGTGTTTATATGCACTTCTATTGAACATAATTCTAATAAAGTAAATATGGTAAACAACATTCACAACTGATTTTCCACGCTGAATATTGTTTGTATATGTATTTACACAAACTTAAAAAAACCTATCAATGTGTATGCTCATTTTTTCTTTCACCATATTGATATAAAAAATTTTGACTGAACACTGTGGAATACTTTATTTTCGTTTGGAATTTATTTTTGCCATTTTCGCTGAATGGATGATTCCGTGAAAATAAAATCCAGCGAATATACTTTTTTTCCTATATTTCACATTAAACTCATCAAAAATCAGTGAAAATATATTACATAAAAAAATGCCCAAAAAGCCTTTTCAGCGAAAATTTATTCCAGCGAAAATAAAGTATTCCACAGTAACACTCTTATCATGGAACTCTTGGTTTGATTTGCATAGCTGACAACTCACTAAACAGTGTAAGAGGACATTATGCCTAAATCAGTAAAACATTTGTATTCTAGTGAATGCCATCTTGACAGATCTGAACTACTATCCTATGCGCTATTCCTATCATTAGTTTACTTGTCGTCGTAAGCGTAGTGGATTTCTGTAAGACGAATTGCTCATCATTCACATTAGCCATTCGTTTGCCAAGATAAAGTCCCACATCAGTAACTAGGTTCTGCTTCTTAACTCAAGTACTGAATAAATAAAAATAAATGTGTGATTATTGCCTTTTTTAGGTGAACGGTGAAAGTCTTGTTGGAATGACGCATAACAAGGCTGTTGCTATTCTTAGAAAATGCAAAGGAATCGTAAAATTAGCTATATCAAGGTAAGACTCTAGCAGACTCTCTTTCACTTTTTCCTCGATATTGATGCCGCAAGTGAAGGTATTGCAACCTCAATGTAATCATACTCTCCCATGAATCTGTATGTGATTCCGTTGAAAGGTCATGTATTTGACCTCTGTAGAATAGATAAATCTGATTGGACACATCTGTAAACCATGTGCACGATCAAAAAGTTGGCAAAACATATGACAACTGAATTGGTCACATTTGGTCGCTGCGAGATACAAACCAAGAGTGTGTTTGTTAATGAAGTTGAATTGTCTAATTAGACAGAATATTTACAGTATTATTTCACATTTACATTTCTGTACTGTATTACTGTGGAATACTTTATTTTCGCTGGAATTAATTTTCACTGAAAAGGCTTTTTTGGGGTTTTGCTTAAAATTTATTTTCACTGATTTTTGATGAGTTTAATGTGAAATATAGGAATAAAATTATATTCGTGGGATTTTATTTTCACGGAATCATCCCTTCAGCGAAAATAGCGAAAATAAATTCCAAGCGGAAATAAAGTATTCTACAGTATTTATATACAGTGATGGTACTGTGTAGTTTAGATATTCACCTTCCTCTAGTATTTCTGTAGTTATTTGACTTATATAAAAAATTGACTCATTATATAACTCTTTTGTCAATAACCTATTATCACGACCATTGATAGGCTCTCCAAATGACCAATCACATCTAGGCCATCTTTAGGTCATGGGTCATGAGAAACAATGTAGCATATGACCTGCTATGATTTCTTACCAATGTTGAGTGTTCCAGATAACATACAGTGGCTATGTACTATAAAATCAACTTCCCATCATAGCCACACATGTTTATAAACATTGGCTATGATAAAGTGCTGAGACAATGGCTGAATGAACAAAACTTGGCCAGCTCCATTATTAACTTTAAAACATACACCAAGTGTTCTCAAGTATGGTTGCTTCATTTGCATATTAATTAGCATAATTTCAATTCAATCATAATTTATATTATAAGAATATTTGTTTCGTATTTTTTAAACTGTGTATACATATATCTAATTAATTTTGTACTTTATCAACAGAACTCCGCTATCAAGACCATCCAGTAGAATTGGTCAGCCATTAGGGGACCAGACCAATCAGCAAAGCGGTAGCGCTAGTGGTAGCGGTGCCGATAATGAACAAAGACAAGCTGAGATCATGGCTGCATTAATGGCATCAAGGGAATACAGTGAGTATTAAAATAGATAACAAAATTATAGAACAATAGAATTTAGGAATAAATTAATATAATTTTGTCATAGAATAGAATTCATTGATAGAATAATAAAACTTAGTGATAGAACAATTGAATTTAATTTTTATTTATTTACTTTTCTCAAAAATTTTCATGAGGTAAGAATATTTCAACTAAACTCAGTGCTGTTGTATACAAAATAATACTGTAAACCAATTATTGTAAAATTCTTTATTTTTGCCTGTAGCAAATATACCTTTTGTCTTACATTTTACATTCAACTTGTCAAAAATCACATACTGATACTGTAAATGCATTCATTTTTCACTGGGTTTTAATTTCGCTATATTCGCTGGTAAATAAACTCCGCTAAATTAAATCTTTGGGTACATGAAATAACAATAAATCTCCTTGTTTCCTTGACAAATTTGTGAAATTAAAACAGGGAATTGTTCAAAACATCAAAATAGTGAAATTAAATGTCAGCGATAATAAATGGTTACCATTTTACAGTACTCTGCGTCGTTTGATGATAGATTGATTTTCATTGCTACAAAATGTCATGATTGTCACTGATTTGAGAAATCAAAAAAAAAATTCTTTTGTGAAAATTATCAGTGTTTCAAGAGCATAAAAAAATATTAACAGAAGCTGAAAGTATTACTTACACCAGTCACCCATGCCTGGTAAAACTTTCTATATTATTGTCTTTCTAGATGCGTCAGATTATAGCGATAATATGGCATTCAGTTCATCAGTTATCACTACGCGACAGTGGCAGAGTACGCTCGCATAGCTCTGGTCATGTCACCGACAGCGACAATAATGATGACTTGCCGGGTAATTCATCTAGTCATAAGAAACCTAAAACCAAACAGAAGCGTGGTGCTGAGAGTGGTGGTGAATCAAGTCCATGGATGAGTGATATTGACTTACCATTGGATGACAGCAATCCGTCTTCTCCCAAGGCAAATGCTTCAAGTATGTTAGTGATAGTCAGTTGTTGCGTATGTCTCTTGTTACGACTGTCCATAATGGATACTACACCGGTACTAGTTTGCTCAAATCTGTCAACAATTTGAAAAAGAAGATTGAAAAGCAAGATCCAGCAGAAGAATACAAGGTATGATTAGAAATATTAACTTTTTCTAACAATTTTTAACTTTGACCTCATTCACCATTTTTGTCAACTTTGACCCTTATTTTTATCACCATTTTTGTCAACTTTGACCCTTATTTTTATCACCATTATTGTCAACTTTGACCCTTATTTTTATTACCATTATTGTCAACTTTGACCCTTATTTTTATCACCATTATTGTCAACTTTGACCCTTATTTTTATTACCATTATTGTCACCTTTGACCCTTATTTTTATCACCATTTTTGTCAACTTTGACCTTATTTTTATCACCATTTTTGTCAACTTTGATCCTTATTTTTAATTCCCATTGTCAACTTTGAACCTTATTTTTATTCCCATTTTTCAACTTTGACCCTTATTTTTAGCAAGATTGTTAGATTTAACTTTTATAATTTTTCCCACAAATGTTAACTTCTGTAATTTTTGACGAAGTAGTCCTGTTGTGTACATTATCATTTGCATAAAAAATAATAACCACATTTCAAAATATTGTACAAAAATCTCTAGTAATACTGTATTCAGAATATTTGGTTTAAAATTAACCTTGACTTGAATAACTTTATCTAACTTTAGATGAACAGGCCCAATCAAATGTTTCCAAAATCTCAAATCTGAGAGTAAAAAAAACAAGCGAATTGTCCTTTTTTTAATTGGTGAATTGGTGTGAATTTTTTTTGATTTGACATTCTCTATAAAGGTGATTGATATTGTTGCTAATGGCGAAAGATTAATATGTAATTTCTCATTATTCTTGTCTTTTTAGCAACTTCGTCTTGTGAAAGCCGTAGATGATTGTGAGACTGCCAAGTTACCTGTAAATAAAGATAAGAATAGATACCGGAATGTACTGCCATGTAAGTCTAGCAATGTACTAAATATGACTTAATCTGGGAATTTATTTTAGTTATATTTGCTCAATAGAAATGTACATAAACTAAAAAATGATTTTATTAGTCTCCGTTCGAACGAAGTCCGAAAACGGGGACTTATAATTCGTTCTTCGTCCTTCCGTTCGTGCGTCAGTCCGTCCAGAGTCATATTTCAGAATCCTGTGGACCGATTCTGTACATTCTTTGCATGTGCCTAGTACTTTATGTGGGACATATGCACATGCAGTGGTTTAGCGATTTGATTCAAAATGGCCGACTGGCAGCCATCTTGTTTTTTTGAAAATGTTGTATTTTGGACATGCTTTGACAGTTTTCATTCAAACTTGGTACATAGATTATACATGTTGGAATACATGTCCATGACGATTTATTTCACAATTGGATCAAAGATTGCCGACTGGCAGCCATCTTGTTTTTTGAAAATGTCGTATTTTGGACATGCTTTGTCAGTTTTTATTCAAATTTAGTACATAGATCATACATGTTAGGATACATGTCCCCGACCGTTCGTGAGTTCCTGAGTCTGTCCGTCCGTCCGTCCTTGCGTCAGTCTGTCCAAGGTCATATTTCAGAATCGTATGGACCAATTCCGTGCATTCTTTGCATGTGCCTAGTACCTTATTTAGGACATATGCACATGCAGTGGTTTAGCGATTCGATTCAAAATGGCCGACTGGCAGCCATCTTGTTTTTTGAAAATGTTGTATTTTGGACATGCTTTGTCAGTTGTCATTCAAACTTGGTACATAGATTATACATGTTTGGATACATGTCCATGACAATTTATTTCGCAATTGGATTAAAGATGGTCGACTGGCAGGCATCTTGTTTTTTTTTTTTATGCGGTATCTTGGACGTGCTCTGTCAGTTTTCATTCAAATTTGGCACAAACATGTACTTTATACATGTTTCAAAATCTGGTCAAGGATGGTCGATTGACAGCCATCTGACTTTTTGGCCTTACTACTATATTTCCACAATTTATTTACCATTTTCATTCGTATTTGGCACATACATCATACATATCAGTGTGTTTCATAATCAGATCAAAGATGGCCGAATAACGGCTGTTTTTATTTTTGGCCATATTACTACTACACGGAACACGTGTTTTGATCTGTTATATATGCCACTTGGAACTCAAGTTTCAAGGACACGCTTGCGACAACCCCTCCGCTTTAATATGACGAGCACAAAGAGAACTTTCAAAAATTTAACGGGGACTGTTGTATTATGACCATGCCTGTCATTTACGTAGCGCATACACTACTAACATCATTCCTGCATTTGCAATTGCAACAAGTTGATCAAAACAGAAACAGAAAAATATTATGTTACAATTCTGTAATATTTCCTGCATAGAAGCATGATTCGTCTTAGTATTATTGCTCTGAAATACAAGTTTGATAATCTGACCTCTTCACCGACATCAACCATTCAACAAATTCCAGCTTAAATATGCCATTGCCCCTAGCTTTTCTGGACTGTGAATCTCTCTGTATATTCCTGTTCTAAGCCATGTACTGTATTTTCACTTGGAATTAATTTTTGCTATTTTCGCTGAGGTAATGATTCAGTGAAAATATAATCCAGCGAATACATGTATACCTTTTTTTCTATATTTTACATTCAACTCGCCAAAAATCAGTGAAAATAAATTCCATACAAAACACCCAGAAAGTTTGTGCAGCAAAAATTAATTCCAGTTAAAATAAAGTATTTAACAGTATTATTGCATTTGCATCAATTGTAATCACATACCATCAAACATACATACAATATAACGCTAAACACAAGATTCAAACTCCTGATCACGAAAAACGCCTCACTGACGAACACACTCTCCACCACACTACACTCACAAGCCTGAAAAGCACAGCTCCAAAGTGATGTCTCTTACTTTACAGATGACGCTACCAGAGTGACATTGATAGATGGTAGGACCAGTGACTACATCAATGCTAGTTTTATACGTTGGAGTGTTGGTAACTCACCATATCATTACATAGCTTGTCAAGGTCCATTGCCGCATACCACTGGTGACTTTTGGCAAATGATATGGGAACAAAAAGTAGAGGTCATTGCTATGGTAACCATGGATATGGAGAATGGAAAGGTAATGATGCTTTTTTTTAATTGACATCTTGCCCAGTCAAATTTTGTTAATGTGTGCACTTTTTTTATAAGAAAGAAAAAATATTTTTGTGGAGAATAAAATCCAAACATAGTATCATAATCTTACGTTCTATTATAATTTCTATAAATATCTAGAATTATATATAAAAATATGAAATACATTTGGACTGTTTGTTTTGATAAAATAATGTTCTGTTTTGTTTTTTTTTGCTAAGGTGAAATGTCATCGTTATTGGCCAGATTCTGTTGACACACCAATGATACTCCAAGGTCGCTATGAAATCCAGATGACTTCCTTGCAAACACTGGAAAATTTTGACATCAGACGAATCTCTATGAGTGACATGAAGGTAAGTTTTTGACATTTCCAATGTGTAAATCTATATAAGGGCAACTTTTTTGAATATTCATGACCTTTCAAGTGTGTAATTCTATATAAGGGTAACCTATTTGAATATTCATAAAATTTCCTATATGTAAACCTATAAAAGGGTAACCTATTTGAATATTCATGACATTCCAGTATGTAAATCTATAAAAGGACAACCTATTTGAATATTTATGACATTCCAGTATGTAAATCTATAAAAGGACAACCTATTTGAATAATCATGACATTCTAGTATGTAAATCTATAAAAGGACAACCTATTTGAATATTCATGACATTCCAGTATGTAAATCTGTATAAGGGTAACCTATTTGAATATTCATGACATTCCTGTATGTAAATCTATAAAAGGACAACCTATTTGAATATTCATGACATTCCAGTATGTAAATCTGTATAAGGGTAACCTATTTGAATATTCATGACATTCCAGTATGTAAATCTGTATAAGGACAACCTATTTGAATATTCATGACATTCCAGTATGTAAATCTATATAAGGACAACCTATTTGAATATTCATGACATTCCTGTATGTAAATCTATATAAGGGCAACCTATTTGAATATTCATGACATTCCAGTATGTAAATCTAGTATAAGGGCAACCTATTTGAATATTCATGACATTCCAGTATGTAAATCTGTATAAGGACAACCTATTTGAATATTCATGACATTCCAGTATGTAAATCTGTATAAGGGCAACCTATTTGAATATTCATGACTTTCCAGTATGTAAATCAATATAAGGACAACCTATTTGAATATTCATGACATTCCAGTATGTAAATCTATATAAGGACAACCTATTTGAATATTCATGATCTTGCCAGTTTATAAATCTATATAAGGGCAAAATATTCGAATATTCATGACATTCCAGTATGTAAATCTATATAAGGGCAACCTATTTGAATATTCATGACATTCCTGTATGTAAATCTATATAAGGGCAACCTATTTGAATATTCATATGCAGTCTTTACCATCCTTATAACTGAACTTTCTTCCCATATTTGGGTCACCTAATTAAAATGCAAAGTATGGTACCTTTCATTTCTTTATTTGGTATACTATTATCTATTTATTGCCATATTTGTAATATGAATTATTAATTTTTGCAGACTGGCAAAGAATGGCGCTTGACACATCTTAACTATACCACATGGCCGGATCACGGTGTTCCAGTATCTGGTTTACCATTGGTTCGTTACATGCGGTATATGCGTAAGATTCATCATTCTGGACCTATAGTTGTGCATTGTAGCGCTGGGATTGGACGGACTGGCACTGTCATCACAATTGACTTGATACTAGCTATGATAGAACGAGATTTGGATGTAAGTATTCTAATAATATATAACCTCAACGTGCACAGCTGATTGGGTTTGTTTTACTATAACACTACATCATGGGATTAATTCATAGACATTTGATAATTCTAAAAATAATTCATAAATAAATTAAATCGATTAATTCATAAAGACAAACATGATGAGGCAAACTAAAATAGCTACGAGTGTATTTATAAATGTTCTGGCATTGAAATAATTTCACTATGACTTCTCTATATTCAGGCAATGAAGTAATTTAAGATTCAACTCAAAGAAAAGTAGTGCAGTAAGAGTAGACAATATCTTTATCATCTGTGAAAATTGTATTATTGTGACAATTGCTATTAGTATTATCAAATGTTTTGAAGAGTAGAATGCAGTAATAAAATAGTGCCTGCAAGCAACTCCCAGTCGACAATTGTCATGTGATCTTTGACCTCTTGTATGACCTCTAAAGGTCACACATCCTGGTAAATGTTATACCGAAATATTTAAACCATTTTATGATCTTCAATCACTACAGCTTCCATTCTTTGGAATATTACCCCGGTAATTGAGAAATTCTCATTAAAATTGAATGTATGATCTTTAGGGGTCATGCATAAAGCTTGTTGCTGAGATAATCTGCCACTATCTTTGTTTATTTGTTTACAGTTCAGTATTTATGAGATTGTACAAGGCCTAAGACAACAGCGACAAGGCATGATACAAACTAAGGTAAGTCTATACAGTAAAATACTTTATTTTCGCTTGGAATTAATTTTCGCTATTTTCACTGAAGGAATA